TGCTATTGCGAGTGTCGCTTAGTCGCTCAATTAGCGACTGTGAATACTTTTTAATCGCTCATCCTTCTATTGCTGTTTTTTAGTCGTTGGAGTTTGCGTTTATAAAATTTACATAAGAAAGTGGTACTATAATGGATAAAAAGTAAGTCAATTGAACTGGAAGTTGTAAAAAATTGTGAAATATACATATGCATGTATGTGTCTGAATTACAGATCAAAAATTATAAACAACAAAAGGCAACTTGCGCGGTTGGTCGTACTGATGCAGGAGAGTGAAGACATAGGCAAAGGAATTTCCGGAAAGAGTAGGGTAGGAAGCTCCGCTTCTATTGGAAAAGATACATATACAATATTTCTTGTGCATATAACTCCGGCTACGCCATCCACAGTGTTTTTGCGCAGAACCAACATCAAAAGTTTATACAAAAAAACTGCATAATTTATTAATTGACTAGTGCTCGGAAATTTGAAATCTTTATTTTAAATTAAAGTTGAATTCTTTCAATACACTTGTTATGTTGTTATGTTAAAGTTTTTAAACTCGGGTCACGCATTTGGACACAAAAACCCAACATCATTGTACAAAAAACTTAACCGTACCGTATTTCTTAAACTTCCATAAAGTTTATTAATGAGGAAAACAGCTTTTCCTGCAAATCATGTAAAGCCTAAAAACCGTGAATCATCGGGAACGCAACTTTTGTTCATAAAACTCACATATGTACATACACCTTCCAAGTCCAAGGGATCCGACGAATCTCGCAATTCCCTCCTTGCTTTAGCCAACTCTACTAATCTATTAGCTTCCGCATCATCTTCCTCATCACTAAACCATATTTCAACTGTGTCCATTTTTTAAATTTAATAATAAAAGCAATTATTTTAAAAATGATGTAAATAAAACACTCAAGAAACAAATGTAAACAAACAAACAGCTGTTTACAATTCTGTCAACCATTCACAATAGTACAAATTTTTATCGATCAAGTTACGCAATAGCAAAATAAAAGATGATCGACTCGATCGACAAATTTCTATTCTACTGCCAGTCGACACTCGCAATAGGGGTGATTGTCAGCCACTTTAAACGCACAATTTAGGTAAAATGATGCAACAAAATGCTTTAAAATGTGTTGTCATATTGAATTAACTCTTCTTTACTTGAATAAAAGTGTAAAATAGTGGTACTTGTGATGTAAACAAACGCTCATCTGACGAACCCGCTTTCGCAAGCTTTTTTCTCAAAACCAGTTACAAATACAACGTCGCGTTCTTACGTGATCTTGTGTTTTTGATTCATGTGTGGACGGGCCTTTAGTCCTCAACTTAATCTCAAGTTGAGCTCAAACCTAAATGTTTGTTGTGTTGTCACATGCAACTTGCACTTGCAACTATCAAGTACGTGTTGAAATAATTTGACTGTTGAGGGTCACAACAAACCAAGACCGCAAAAAATATAT